AAAATAGTTATAGAATATCAGTTAAAGAATACCACCAATGATGGTGGGTCAGTAATATAATTTTAAGTAGATTTTATTATTGTTTAGGCTTTTATCCCTGAACATTTTGGTTGGTTTGTTTGTTTGTTTTCTGGTACTGGGGATCGAACTCGGGTCCTTGTGCTTACAAGGCAGGTGGCGGAACCACTAAGCTAAATCCCTGGCCCTATCCCTGAACATTTTGATTGAATAGATCTGGGGTGGAGCCCTAGAATCTTGTTTTTCAGAAGTATCTCAGTTGTTTTGGGGAAATATCCCAAGTTTGAGAGCCACTTATTTGGGACCTCAATTTTGAAAGACCTTGAATGCTTGGTTTAGAACTCTAGATATTGTCCAGTAGTCAGTCATTTATGTGTTCCTTAATTCAGTATAAGTGTGTGTGTGTGTGTGTGTGTGTGTGTGTGTGTGTGTGTGTGTGTGTGTGTGTTATGGCCCCAGCACTGCTAATATAAATGTGAGACATCCTGTGCTTTATAGTAGGCAGGAACTTCTTTAGGAGAACAGGAAAGGTACTCGACAGTATGAAGGGTTTTCAGGAAAGATATTGAAAGATAGCCAGCTTAGGAGAAGCTTATGTGTGTACATGGCCAAATGAAGAAAGATATATAGATATTCCCAACGGGCACAATTATGAAGGGGCACTGGAGAGTGGCGGCCTGACAACTGAAGCTCAGGGTATAGGGTGTGATGAGAGATAGGCATAGTAATGAGGGAATGAGAAGTGTAAGGAGGGAATAAATGAAATTTTGAAATAGCAGACTAAAGAATTGGAATTTCAGCCTGTGGGTATAAGGAGCCGTGGTGGACTTTTTATCAAGGTTCCTTCTTAGAAGCTTCTTTGTGATAGCACTGTGGAGAATGAACTAAAATGGAAGATACATTGGAATCACTTAGAAGGTGATTGTGTGATCTGGGCATGAAGTGGAGATTTACAAAAAGGCATTGGTAACAGGGTGATAAAATGTGGGTGATTTAAAAAAAATAAATGATTCGGTGACACTGAGAAAACTGATGGAGAATGACAGAGTATCAGAGGATGACTGAATGAGAATTTGTAAGCAATAAGTATTGTAAGTAGGAAAACCAGGAGTATTTTACCTAGTAGTACATTCATTAATAGCAGTTTATACTTACTTTAGTAGTTAGCACCTGGAGATTATCTTAACATCTCTTCTATGTGACAAAACTTATGTTCAATAATAATAATAATGTAATAAAATTAAAGTTAATTAAAGTTAAGTAATAATGGCCAGGAACAAAGGCCAACAATGAAAATACTTTTGTTGAGCTTTGTATTTTTAACTCTGTCAGTAAAAAACATAATAAAATCGATACTACAGTACAAAAAGAAGATAGTGGGATGTTAAATTGCATTGATCTTTTTGTTAAGGAAAAATATTTTTACATATTACCTATCATAGTAATGAAATCACTTTAGCTTCTGAAAAATTGCCAGTGAATTTCTTCAAAATTCATCTTTGAATATTGAGGCTCAGCACACTAGCCAGGTTTCAGTCTGTCTTTAGTCATTTTTGATGAAAGAACACTGTCTTTTTAAGTATGAAAGATGTTTTTCCTCACAGAGCAACTGATAGGCAAATATGGAAAAACTTTAACATAAAGATAAATTAGAAGGTTCAGAAAATCCTATTTTTTACAGTAAACTCTAAAAATTTTTATATTGCCCAAGCCATTGTCTTGAGGAGGATCAAGTCATGATTTTAAATGCCTTCCCAGTTGAAAAGTTTTAAGTGCAACCTCAAAGTTGCATATAATGACAGAAATAAGGTAACTCACATTGTTTCTTAGTGACTTTACAGTTGTTATACTGTCGTTTATTTTTAATAAGATTAAACTTACTAGTACATTGTAGCATAGTGTGGAAGACACATATTCTGCTGAAGTAATCTTGTGTTATTTTAAACTACTGTGAAAGTTACTCTTGAAAGAAAAATGCATCTGAACCGTATTACTGAGAGTTCTCATACTTCATTTTCATATAAAATACAGTGTTTATTAAAGGACACATAATAAAATGTACTAATTTAAAAACCTGTGTGATATTGTTAAAACTCAGTAGTGACTGCAGCTATTGCTTATGACAAACCAGTAAAATGTTGGAAGTGTGTTTTTTTTCCCTCTGACGTTATTGCTGGAGCATTAGAATAAAGAGCTGGTTTTATATTGCTTCTAAATTCTGCACAGACAGTATACCTGCTTATTCCCTGCACTTCCCTTGAGGTACTACATGAGTGAAATGAAAAGGGTCATATGTAGGAAGCCCCTAAAGAACATTGTCCTAATCAAAACAGGGTGGCAATGGTCTGAGGTATTTAGGAGACAGTGGAAATATAAATAAAGGGACAGATGTAAGAAACTGCAAGAGGTAAATAAGTAGAATTTAAAATAAGGTTTTGAGCTGTGTGCTCACTTCAGCAGTGCATGTACTAAAAGAAAGATTTTGAGCTAGAATGATTTGGAAAATAGTGTTATATGTTTGCTAGAAATACAGAGGTTTTTAGAGGGGCTGATTTGTGGATTATAATGATAGCATCAAAGAATAATTGTTTCTCTGTAGTGTCTTTGCCTCTCAGAGTGCTCTTACTAATTCAGAATTACATAAATATTAAAAGAGAAAGCAAGGCAAATTTTAAACCATAAACATTTTCAAACAGCTAACACGTTAAATTCTATTAATTTAGAAAGTTTAGAAGAGTTTCACTTACATGTACTTTGTTATTTAAAAAATGATTTTGACTTTAGGAAAATGAAATAAGAATTATTATTCAGATAAAAATTTTATTCTTGTTTGATTAACTTATGTGACAGTGTGATATTTTATGCAAATCATTCATTTCATTCCATTTCTGTCAGGCCAGTTTCCCTGATTCTGTATGTAACTAAGTCTTTAAATTCCTGGTGGGCAGTTTTCCTTTGTAGATGTCGTGGTTGTGATATAACCATGAAATTTCAGGGATAATAGAGTCTGCTGGAGTTACCACAACTGTTACAAGTCAGATCTTTCCATTAAGCCCTCACTAAGTTTTTGTATTGACTAATAGATACTGTAGATTGCGAGTATATATTCAATTCATTTCCTTCTGCCTTTATTTATAACTGAGCCTTCCTTCTGTTCTTGAAATGTACTGGGAATGCTCCAGTCTCAGTGTTCTTTACAATTGCTTTTTCCACAATCTAGAGTGTTTTTCTAGATAATCTACATGGCTCACTCCCACTTTTCTTTCAGATCTTTGTGTGAATGTCATCTTAGGGCAATCTTTCCTGATTACCCTCCTTATAAGTACATTTTAAAGCTCCCATTTCTTGTTCCCGTTTCCTCTTTAATTTTTCTCCTTAGTAGCTGTTACTCTCTGGAAGACCATACGTTTTCCTACTCTGTTTATGTCTGTCTCCACTTTGCTAGAGTATTAGTTCTATAAGAATAAGTTCTATGTCTATCGAGTTGGCTCCTAAAACCATTGCACCAAAAACAATACCTGGAATTTAGCACATACTCAACTATTAAAATAAATGAAAGCAAGGATGGGTGGAAGGAAATATGAATAAATGGAATGAAATGTATGAGTAAATATATAAGTGAAAAGTATCAACAAGAACAGTATTGTATAATTTTATGGAACAGATATAACGTACCAAAGTTTTTGGTAGTCTCCATGACAATATTTGAGTTAGTTGGCATCAAACATTATTTAAGTATAGTGTTTGGAATGCTGTAAAATTGGAAGTCAAATACACTGTTTTTTTTGGTACCAGGGATTGAACTCAGGCCCTTGCACTTGTGGCAGAACCACTAAGCCAAATCCCTGGCCCTCGAATACAATTCTTAAAAAATTTATTAGCTATGAGAAAACAGTAGTTTTTCAGCTTTGATAGAATTAAGCAATAGAGGAAACAGACATCTCTTTGATGATACATCATATTTCTCTTTCTTACCCCAGTGATTATGCCCTAGGTAGTCTTGTAGAAATGGGATCTCTTTTTTTGGTTTGTTTTGTTGTACATAAATCCTAGTAGTGTATGAAGTTTAACTCTCCAGTCAGCGGGATGACGTTGTAGAGCCACTTTAATGAGTGATTACACTGGTTTGTGTGGAACTCTGATAATTGGAGCCTTAATAACTATAAATTGAAGTAATTTGAACCATTTTAACTCTAGGCAGCCCTGGGCTGCATCTTACTTGTCAATTTTGGAGTTTTGATGTGGTTGATAGAAGTTTGGAAGAAAGCTCAGCATTCCTCATTGATCACTGTTAAAAATTGTAAAAGGCAAATGCTCTGACTTAGCTGAACCCCTACTCCATAACACACTTAGCTCCCTATATGCATACATGTGTGTGGTCCAGATATGTTGCAACCCAACTCTGAGGCAAGGAACAGTTGGATTCTACAGCAGAGTGATATTGAACATGTTAAAGCCAATAGATTATGATTTCCTGAGGACTTGCATAGTTCTGAGTTTTCTTCTCCTTTTTGAGTATGGGGATTACTGTTTCATTTTAGAACAATTCATCTAACAATAACTGCTTTGCCAAAATGCGCTTTTTTGCATTGAACAGTACTGCATTTATTTTATTCTGTACTGTGTGCTTGTGTTTATCATGTCTTTGTATTGTATTCTTTGCATCCTGTAGCATGTTTGCTGGTGGTTTGTTTTCTCTGATATTTCAAACAATTGACATTTTAGAGATTGTTTCATCTATAAAGAAACTAGTCCTTAAAGTATGCATTGTGCACTAAGATTTCTATTCTCTTTCTTTTCCAATTGAATGCACTAAGCATCACTTTAAAATTCCTCTGCTTCTACGATTCTAACATATTTCCACTTACGAAGTCTGCTTCTTGATAAATTTTAAAGTTGTATTAAAATAGTCACGTTTACAGAAGCTATAGCCTTTATCTTGTACTTCCAGGCAAATATTACAGTTCCTTATTTTTCAACAGCTTCGCAAAGGCTGAAAAATTTGCCTCGTACTTCCCTCAAAGCCAAACAGTTGCTTCAAACTCCATCTACAAAAAGAGGTAACTACAGCCTCTTACTCAGCTTAAATTTTCAGCAAATGATGTAGTTAAACCTTATGACTCTTGGCATACTTACTCAGTGATGTCTGTACGGCACATTTTAGTCTTTTTTCTTAATGTGATAATGTGGATTCTCTGATATGTGGATAAATGCAGGAGAAGCATATTTTCTACAGAGGTATGTATTGGGTTGCTCTTCTGAAAGGAGTACATAATAGAGACTTTATTTTTTCAAATTAACCTAGAACCAAGTATCATTGTTTTAATTTAATGTGAGTTCAACCAGTAAGTGCTTTAAAATGGACCAAATGTCAGACATTCTGTGTGTTAATTTTTTTTCCAGATGTTGATTTTTTTAGTTCACTTATATGTGAAATGAAATGGGAACACTTTTGCATTAGAAGCTGATATAAAAAAGGAAAACACAGCCAGGGATTTAGCTCAGTGGTTCCATTGCAAGCATAAGCACCTGAGTTTGATCGCCTGTACCAAAAAAATAAAAAAATAAATAAAATGAAAACACAAATTGTGGTCCAGCTGAAATGTTTGAAATGTTTATGGAGTTGGAGCTTTTGTAGGATCTGACTGGTGAAGAAATACAAGTTAGATACTAAAACTATACAGTATTGGTTCTGAGAGATTGGGTATATGGATAGGTAGAAGAGAGTAGAATTGTAAGGAGATCTTACTGAATAGACTAGCAGTAATAAGAATGAGTAGAAGTCATGGAGAAAATGAGTTAGAACAAATACAGCCAACAAGAAAAAAATATTTCTCTATCCAGGACATGTAAGTTTTCTGATAGCTTCATAATTTAGTAGGTAACAGAGATTTGTAAGGAGCATGAAGCAAATCATAGAGGAAGAAAAAGTTTGAAATTGGATTTGTTGAGAAAAATGTTTACTATGGTTGCAAAAGTACTATAATAGATATTTTGGCAAATTCATTATTTTAAGTGTTTTAGCAGTGATTTAGAGGATTGAGTATAATTTAAAGAATTAGTTTGAGATAATCGAATCTGAAGGACAGAGACTAGCCAAATAGAAGTACAGGATGTGTGAATGTTTGTTTGTTAAATATTAGAAGTTGACCATAGGCCTACATTAAAGATATCTCCGGTGCCATGGTCAGAAAAATAGACTGCATAGATTATGTTCCTTTAATAGAGAATAGATGGCTCATTGGGGTCTTTATAGAAGGAATCCTTAACAATTTACCAAAAAGGAAACATAATTACAGTACTTTCTTTGGCACTGCAGTGAACAGTATTTACATAATCATAAACTGATTAGTTTTAACTAACAATTGCAGTATAGCTATATTGGCAGTAAAAAGAACAAGAAGTAGATGTAAGGTAAGATGGACTGAGGATTTAGCTCAGGGGCACCATGCCTGACTTACTTGCAAGCACAAGGTCCTGGGTTTGATCCCCAGTACAAAAAAAAAAAAAAGTAGATGTAAGGGACAAGGAAGTTAGATCTCATTTAATCTATAAGAAAGCCAATAAAGTATAAAAATCTAAAGGTGATGATTCAAACCAAAAGTATATACCTGTCATAGAAAAAATAGAGATAGAGAAAAAATGCTAAAAAAGAATTTGCGACCCAGCAATCCCACTATTGGGTTTATATCCAGAGGGAATGACCTAGTGTATTGAAGACATGTCTGCCCTGCTGGGTGTACGCACGATTCACAATAAACCTAGATGTCTCAACAATGGATGAATGGTTTCTTTGGTTTTTGCTTTTTTTGGTACCGGGGATTGAACTTGGGTCCTTGCATTTGCAAGGCAGACAATGGCACCCAATGAGCTAAATCCCCAGCCCTGAATTTTTGTAATGTGGCATATATACAAAATGAAAGAGTGTTCAGACATTTTAAGAAATGGGATCCAGCTAAAGAAGCTGAATTATGAGGAAGAATATGCAGCCAGGGCAGCTTAGTGGCTTAGCAAGACCCTGTCTCAAAATAAAAAGTAAAAACAGGGCTGGAAATGTAGCTCAGTGGAAATGCTGTCATTTCAATCTCCAGTACTAAGGGGCTGGGGGTGGGTGTGAAATACTATGATGTGATAATATTGTTGGATGTGGAGGACATTATGTAAAGCATAGTGAGCCAGACACGGAGGGACAAATACGGTACTGTGTGGTCTCATTCGATATGTGACTTCCTGTGGAACATGCCTATAATCTGAGCACTGGGGAGGCTGAGGCAGGAGGGTTGCCCGGAGATTAAGGCCAGCCTGAACTTCATAGTGCAACTGTCTCTCAAACGAAGAAATACACATGGCTTCTCAAAAAGTTGACCTTATAAAAGTAAAGCATAAACTAACAATAGTGACCAGAGATTACTATTAGGGAGTGGAAGAAAATGTAGACTTGCTAGTGGGTACAAAATTATAAGGATAGGAAGAGTAGCTTCTAATGTTATTATACAGTAGGGTGACTGTAGTTAATAATAATGTACTCGATATCAAAATAACTGGAATGGTTTTTTTCTTTAATATTCTTACCAGAAAGAAATTATTAATTTATAAAGTAGTGGATATGCTAATTACCCTGACTCGATCGTTATGCAAAGTATATATGAATTGAAACATTGCATTGTGCCCCACAAACATATAGACCTCAAGCTTCTGCTTTGAGACTTACAGATTTTTTTAGTACTGAACTTCCTTGGCTATGGTGGAAGCAAGTGAAAACAAATCAGCAGCTGGGGTGTGGCTCAGTGGTAGAGTGCTTGCTAGCATGTGTGTGATAGACTCTGAGCTCAATCCCTAGCACCACCCAAAATATTAAAAATCTAGACCGATAGCTGGAGGTATCAACAATGGTGGTATCAAAAACAGGGCAAGAAAAAAATGTTTTAAAGAATAAGAAAATCAGAGCAAGAAATTACTGTGCTATAATAAAAGAATTGGGGGATTTTATTCTGTTTTTTGTTGTTTTGGATCAAACTCGGGACCTTGCATTTGTGAGGAATGCAGCGGCACCACTGGATTTAAAATCCCTGGCCTGGGATTTTAAATTTGTATAAATCCTATTCTCTTTGTAAGCAGCTTCATTAAGGTTTTGTTTTGTTTTGGAACCAGGTGGGTTTACATAGTTTTAAATATTTACTTTAAAGATTTTATGATGTTATATTTACTAGGGTAAAATACTATACAGTTGAATTTATTTATTTGTTTGTTTGTTTGTTTATTTATTTTTAGGACTACAGCAAGCCTTTATTATGGGGAGGATATGCCTGGCTGTCTCTGAACAAAGGAGAGAAAAGCAACATGGCAGAACAGAAAGCTTCTTTTATAGGAGAGGGGTGGGTTAGTCTGAGCTGGGGTGGAGTTTAGTGAAGTAGTATTAAGAGATTGGAGGAGCCTGTGACATCACTAGCTGCTAGGAGGTAGCAAGTATTGGGTTACTCTTGGTGGGAGAAGAGGCATGATGGGAAGAAGCCTGTCCTTTGTTGGGAGAAGCCATATTTTAACATGGAGGCTGCTATTCTATGTGGCAGCTGTCCTAAGGCAAGGGAAATCTAACATTGCAGGCTTTTGTTTTATGGTGGTTGGGCAAAGGTCTCTTCTTCTGGAGCTGCTTCGAGCTGACAAAGGGTCGAAGTTTGGGGACAGTGGTAGGTGGGGGCTTCTTCTCTCTGCTGCAGTGGCTGATACCCCACCATGACTAGTTCCATGACTCTTTGGTTGGTAAATGCCCTCATGTGTTCCTGCAAGAAATTTTGAAAACAGTGAAACAGACAGAGGCCTACCATGGCCAGAAGACCCATGCAGGTCAGCAGGCCCAATAAGGGAAGTAGCCATGGCATAATCTATTGAAGCCAGGAATAGTCTTGGGTTGTTCCCCATGTACCCCATTGTTTTTTAAGGTTTTCAATGCATTGTTGTAATTCTTTAACCTTTGCCTTGACTATGCCTGATTGGTTAACAAAATAACACTCTTCACCTAGAGTCTGGCACGTTCCCCCTTGGGCTCTGTTAACATGTTGAGGAAGCGTCTATTTTGGAGCTGGCAGCTGCTAGGGAATTAATCTGGTCCTGGATTGTTTAGGGATTGGCTTATCTTGTCCATGTCTTCTGAGATCTCTATTGACAAAGCCTGATGGAAATGTGTAGAGGTAGAGACACATGCTATATCCATCACCATGCCAGTGAGGACCCCTGCTTCCATCAAGAAGGGGACCGGGAAAGGGGCTGCCCTGTTGTTGACCTTTGACCATAAGAGGATCCTTTCAAACATCTGGGATTATTGATGGTCAAGGGAGAGTTGAGAAACGCTATGTAACAAAATTTCAGATCAGTTGAGGCATCGGAATGTTTCCAGACTGCAAATGAAGTATAGTCCTTTGGATAGGCAGACCGGGCTCTCTTCTGAAATATAGAGGAAGCAAGCAAGGCAAGTGATGTGTTGTCATTTTGCCCTGTGCATGTCAAGTTAGTGTTTTGTGTAGGGAATGGGAGCCCCATAGTGAGGGGTCCCAGAACTGTGGATAAATTGCCAGTATTTGAGACAGACAGGTTAAAATTTATGGGAATTGGAGTGAATGAGTGGGGGTAAATGGACATAAACATCCAACCGTCTGCGATATTGACAGGGAGATAGTGGAGGGTGGTATTAAATAGGTGTTGTAGCCTTTTTTGAGATTGGGTTATCTAGTTTACCACTTGGAAATCTATCCCTTTATAGGGAGATGGAGTGGTGGGTCTCAAAAGTCTCGCTAGTGCCTGTTCACTGACTGCCTCTTTTGGTTATTCTTTTCTGCTGGGTATTTAAGACCAAGTTAAAGTGAGACCTGTGTTAATCAGTATGAACCTCTTGCTATCTGTCAAGGTCCGTTAAGTCTCTAGGCATTACTTTGGAGCCATGCATACAGCCTCTCAGCTCCTTTGTGAGTGTCAATGATTAGGATGGGCCATGGCCTTGCTTGACCATGGTGCTTTCAGTGAAAGTGTGGGAGGCTTTTTCTCTTGGTGACCCTCCTTTAGAACA